AGAGTACCTTTACAGACAGAGTATGGCCATTTCTGTTCCGATTTTTCATTGGTCGCGTGACAATAGGCTGACACCATGTTCTTACGGCCCTAAATAAACAAACAAGATGTCTGATATCAGCAAGCAAAGAGGTTATGCACATCTTACATCTTCTTGTGATAAAGGAGAAAGGCGTTTTAACAATGTTCTCATGTGTTTTTCGTGTGTTATTTGTAGATATGCTAGTTTAAATTGTTACTGCCATATAATTGACATTTTTGTCAAATGCAGCTTCTCATTGATGTTACGGTGAGCCGCCATCTTGTTTCTTTATTTACGGCCGTAAGAGCATCATGAAGCCTAAAAATTCGTTGACCAATCAAAAAGCGGCAGCTTTTCTGTAGTAAAAAGATACGAATGGCCATACTCTGTCTATAAAGGTGCTCTACTTTAGACCTCATGAAAGTGTGAGGGATTGTATCGATATCGATTGGTTCAAAATGCGAACATAGCCTCAAAAGTTAATTGAGTAAACTGAGGGAAGAGTTTTTTGGTAATAGGTTTTGGATTCCTATATATGTGAGTACAAAATGACAATGAAAATTGAAATTCCTAGGAATTTTCTAATTTTCAGCTGTTCCAACTTAAGTCCTAAAATTATTATTTGAGGTTATGCTCTATTGTTTTAAATCAAAGTATACATAGAGCCACCATCGAATAAGATCCATACACGGTGCAGTGTTCCTTTTTTTCTCTATATAAAACAAACTCCAACGCTCAAGAAATGATCTCAATTAAAAGTTGAAGGTGTAATAGAGGGGATCCCCTACCATATACAAAGAGCCCACATTACCCTTATATGCATCCAGCCTTACTCTCCATGTGCATAATATTACCATGCTAAGGAAGAACGCCGTATAATCCATAAGACGTTGCCAAATTTCCTCTCAGAAAATATTTATTTTTGAAGGAAGTTATAAATATTTTTCCTCAAAATTGTCAGCTTTTTAAGATCAGATTACGAACAAAATCCTCTGAGAAATCAGAGGAGAAACATTCACAAATTTCCTTAGAAATGCGTGATTTGTAGAGGAAAATTTGGCAATGCCTGGTGGCACCTACGGCGTTTTTCTTTAGCACGGCAGAATACTAGGAGGATAAAATAGGCGCAGGCAAGTTTGCGCCGCGTGCTGTCTGTGTAACCGCGCCTTCACGGGAGACCTGGGAAGCCTTGCCAATCGATGGATGGTGACCGTTTTGCGCGTCTGAACGAGCCGACTGCAGGATATTTTATATTTATAATGGCGCACGGCGGGATGAGACAATGGGCGAAGTCTGAAATGACTTTTTTTCCCGAAACTTGCAAACTTTCATGTGTAGCTCCTCAGTCCTCACAATGGAGATGTTGCATGAGTGAGGAATTTGCGATTTGACTGTTGGTTCTTATGTAAAAGTTCGCGAGAAACACGATGGTGCCACTGTTTTTCTCTGAAATCAACCCCCAAGCTCAAAAGAAGCTCTCAAGTTGAGGCCAAAATGGAGGGGATATCCCACCCTACCCTGAGTGTCCACCTCTACATCAAGACGAACTCTCCATGCGAATATAGGGAGCAAATACACTGACAGGGCTGCCACTTTATTTGGAGACTCTAAAACTGAAAACCCGGCATCACTGCTAATGTATTTGCTCCCTATCTTCGCATGGAGAGTTCGTCTTGATGTAGAGGTGGACTCTTAGGATAGCGTGGGATATCCCCTCCATTTTGGCCTCAACTTGAGAGCTTTTTTTGAGCTTAGGAGTTGATTCCAGAGAAAACCAGTGGCACCATCGTGTTTCTCGCGAACTTTTGCATAAGAATCAACGGTCAAATCGCAAATCTCTCACACATGTAACATCTCCATTAATACATTTCCATAGGTTTAAACGGAGGGAAAAAAGTTATCAATTTGTTGGACCCACCAAAGCGATTGATCTGCCATTTAAACCTATCGGGAATCGCAACGAATACCTTAATAATCGATTCTTTTCCATAGCTTCAAATGGGAAAATATCACTGAATCGATCATTGACGCTCACGCCTCGCCACTGATATTCCGCATGTGAGGGCCCAAAGTGTGTGCTAAACAATGACACGATCGTTTACTGCGAAGAGAAAAGTTTCATGGATCTTAGACGGCCCGGCGCACATAGGGTTGAGTCAGTAGGAGAGGTCGGACAAAATTTGGAAACTTCAAACGCTTATAACTCCGTTTATATAAACGTTTATTATTAAAACTTTGAGGTTAGCCGGCCAGGTTGGCCTAGTGGTTAGTGCGTCTGACTTCTAGGTGAATAGGTCTCGGGTTCGAATCCCGGTGGTGGTGACAAATTTTCATGGAACTGACGAGTGGATCTGTAAGCAGAATTCGCTCGGCCTTAATCCGTGAAAATTTGTAAGCCCGAGCATGGATGTCTACCAAACTCCCTGATGTCTTCGGAAAATAAATAGTGCCTATAGATGGCTGTAGATTCCTAAAGGAATAGAAGCCACTAAACTCAAAAAAAAAAAAAAAAACTTTGAGGTTATAAAAGTGGTTCCATTGGTTTCCTCTGGAAATTTTCCAGCGAAAGCACCCCTATAAGTTTATAATGTGACGAAATAAACATCAAAATTTGCAATTTTAGTAAACAATTTCATGTCCAACCTCCCTAATGGACCATTAGACAAGGTACGAATGTAAGCAATCTGATACATGTTTCTTGACCAAAATTTCACGTAAAACACGATTTGCGCAACGAAAATTACTGAAACCAACTCCTAACGAAGATATTACGTTTTTATTTCACATTGGTTGCGAGAAATTTGAATTGCGGAAGGAATTTGAAACTTGACAAGAAACTCAAAGCTCTACGTGAGTCAAATCGCGCACTACAACAGTTTCAGCAAGCTTCTCAATCGAACAATGTTCATTTCCCACCATGTGTTGTTCACACTATAAGCAATTTTCTATAGCTGAGCCAAAGAGTCAAGATTGAGGTTGCCAGATTTTTATATCGCAGAGACTGTCATGATAACGTTTAGCGCACGATGTGAGTCACGTAGAGCATTGAGTTTTCATGAGCGGGTGGTTTGAATTCACGCATCAAGAATCATTTAATATCTTCGTAAGAAGTTGATTTTGGTAATTTTTGTTGTGCGCATCGTGTTCTACGTGAAATTTTGGTTAAGAAACATAAATCAGAATACTGAAATTCGTACCTGGTCTAGTGATTCATTGACTCGATCCACTGTGCAGCGCAGCAGGCGGCGCATCGTGCAACTTGCAACGTGCAACGTGCGTTTCGCCCCGCGACAGGGAAATTGGAAAGTTATCCGCTCGCGAAATATCCCGCGGAAAACTCGCGGAAAAAGGCGATGACACTCGCGAAACAAAGTAGTTTCATCCAAGTTTGTTGTCCCAGAAACACGCCGCACCGTGGACGAGTTATCGAGAAAGGCCGGCGTCGAATAGTGCATGCGACTATTCGCGCTCCTCGGATGTGCGTGTTGTATATCACGAAAATGAAGGCATTTCGAATTTTCTCTCGGATCGTTTATCTTGTCTTCGATCGTGCCGTTGAGGTAAAATGCGTCCAAGTGTCTTTTGAAACAAAAAATCTCTCGTGTTTATTGAGTCATTCGTTGTTTTTCAGCTTGTCAAGTTAACGTTCGGTACTTTTCCCTGGAATTTTATTATTTTCATTATTTATTACACAGAAAAAAAAACTCCAGTCGTGGGAGCCGCAATTACGGGCTATATAGTCATACCTTCCGTTCCGGGCTCAAAGGCCGAAAATTCCGGCTGCTGGAGCCGTAGCTTCGGCCTTTGAACCCGGAGCAATCGAAGTTACGCCTCCAGCAGCCGGAATTTTCGGCCTTTGAGCCCGGAACGGACGGTATGTCTATATAGCCCGTAATAGCGGCTCCCACGGCCGGAGTTTTTTTTTCAGTGTATAGTAATAATTTTATAAGATTATGCTCTAGTGTCTTGGTTTGAACTCCCGCACATCAATATCAACGGTGACACTACCAGTCCACGTGTCTCTTTTACGGAGTATGAGAATCTCCTCAGAATATGATTTTTTTGAAGGAGAACAAATGAATATCATTCCTTCAAGTGTTCACAGAATTTCTGTCTTCCAACAGAGATAAAAAATCACAGAATTTCAAGAATTGACGCTGAAGCTCCTTATATTTTCACATCGCGACACTGACTCGCTCTACTGTGCGCCGTTTCCCCACATTTTTGCCGTCTCCTTGTTTTTCTTGGACGAAGCGCAAGTTATAACGAGACTCCTTAGGAAACGCGGGAATTACCTACGCTTCGTTTGCGAACAACTTGAAGCGGAGTGGTGTGGATTTTCGTGAAAATTGGTTTATTTTGCCCACTCGGATGTGCGTGGCAGTATCAATTTCTGAAAGCTTCGAAAGTTTGTACGATGAAAGTTAGGAGTTCTCATCCCTAACTCCGTAGCCGTGGTCATAAGTTTCATATCGTCACCTTCCAGCTGAAGTATCGCAAGCGCCATGCGACGTTTAAAAATTTCCGCCGCCATTTTATTTTTTTTCGGAGAAATTTTCGGTTGAATCGGTTTGAGAGTTTCACTGGATTCCTTCTATGCTGCCGATAAAATTCAATGAAATTTTGAGACAGATTTATTGAGCAATTTCTTTGTAAAAAAATTAAAATGGCGGCGGGAATTTTTTAAGGTCGCACGGCGCTTGTGATACTTTGGCCGGAAGGTGACGACATACTCTTCAATAAATTGAACTGCATTTTGCAATTTGGAACTATAAATCCTGGCTCATCTGCAAAAACACTTATGTGCATAGAGAAATTAATGGCACATACGTTGTTTTTAAACCGGGCTAAAACATATAGTTCTTATTTGCAAAATGTAGTCCAATTAAGGTCGTGCAGTTTAGAGAGAAAATGTAATCTAGACTTGTGACAGAAAAACCACTAAAAAAAGAAAAAAAAGAAAAAAAATGAACCCAGGATTGATTGTTCTCAAGGGCCATATTTATTTTTTGTAGCTGCTCTGATTCTTTTGGCATGCTCCGATGTCATCTTAACGGACACATTTTCATCGAGCTCCACGATCACTGGGTTGAAAGCTTCCAAGTAGTTCATAACGATCTCAGTATCCCTTTTCCCTGAAAAAACAATAAAAATGACGGTTGAAACTTATGATCAGACTATTTCAAAATACTTGTTGGTAATAACAAGTGAGTTATTAACCCCCCGTGAGTTACTCAAAATTAAGGGGTGCGCCCCCTGGCTGCTACGCGGCTCAACCCTCTAAGGGCGCTTAGTGGGATCCCGTGAGGTGATGTATGTCGAGTTGGCTCACCTAAGGACCATTTCTTATCGATTCTCGAAAAAATCAGATAAAATCTGCCCGATAGACGTTCAGCACAAACTGTGACAAAAAATGAACATTCATAACGTTTAAAATGAGAAAAATGCCCCGAAAATATTAATTTTCCAGTGGCATTCGAGAATTTCCAATACTTGCGTAAAATCAATTTATCGTGCCTGTCAGAGCCGGATTAAGGGGGTGGCCACATGGGCAGCGGCCCATGGCGGCAAATTGTAGGGGGCGGCAAATTTTGCAATCTTTTTGAATGTAGGTATCAAAAAAATAGAGAAAAAAATCGGATTCAGAAAATAAATTAGAAACGAGAAAAGACGACAAAATCTTTCATTTCCTGAGAGTAAAAGTATAGTAATTTCTAATTTTGTCGTCTCTCGGTGATACACGAGACAACACCATCAATTAGTAGAGTTAAGAGAGAGACCAAACACGCAATTTGACCTGGAACGGAGCGGCGGTCAGCGTGAAACGCATAGCGCCTACAAGACTGCATGAATACTTCACGCATTGCGTCAGACACACTGCGGTCAGCAGCAGTCGGCAGGAAACGCATAGCGCCTACAAGACTGCATGAATACCTCACGCATTGCGCCAACACAGTGCGGTCGACGTGGCGGTGGAAGTTAAACTTTTTAACCACATTTATGTTTGTTCTTTCATAATTTTTTCGTTCGTTTTTTATAAACGGAGGACCTTGTCCAAACAGGGATGGATTTACGGAACTGAACTTTCTTTAGTGTTGACAGGGCTTTCACAAAAAATGTACCCAACACGAGTAAACGCGTCTCATACACCCCTCCCCCACCGGCACGTTCACTTGGTGGTTTTTATAGATCGTAATCGACGGATCACACGGGCGAGATTATATTGATATCGATTGGTTCAATATGTAACCACAGCCTTAAAGTCAATTTAGAAATCTGAGGTAACGGGTCTTATGTGATTGAACTTTTACTCTCTGGCAATGAAAAGTGAAATTGTTAGGAATTTTCTCATTTTCAGCTTTTCCAAATCAAATCCTAAAATTTTTGTTTGGGGTTAAGTTCTATTGTATTGAACCAACCGATACATCAAACCTCTGTCGAATACGATCTATTGATGTTTCAAAACAAGTGAGAAAGGGGCGGAAAAACACGGGCGGGACTTGGGCGGCAAGTAGGTAAATCCGGCCCTGGTGGCTGTAGGTGTTACTAATGATATTCCCCTCTTATTAATAATCCAGATTTAGAGGTTTGTGGAGATGGTACTTGAGAGTTAGGCGAATAGAGTGGACTCAGTTGTATTCTACTATACTGTTATTTAGCTGATGATCTTATTCATGGAAAATAATTTTAAGATACGCCAGAGGTAAATCCAGCAAGTTGGAAACATCATTTCCTCTCCAATTAAACCTGTGTTAAATAGTCGATTTTTATCCGTTTAAGACCGTGTATAGACCATTCCAAAATTCAAGAGCCAAAATTATTTTTAAAGGTGTAGGTTTAAATGGGTAGAATACAATTATTGCCAACTTGCCACATCCGCCAATAGATAGACATACCTGATTCCCAATACCTGGCTCGTTTTTTTATCTGATCATAGACACTGTATTTGTACATATACTGGGACATTATGATGCGATAGTATCTGTACGGAAGAAGCGGTTCATATGTGGGCACAGAGCAATCTGAACATCGCACCAGGATATCTGAGACTCGCTCACCCGCCGGCTTCGTCATGTCAAATGTCGCTTTCACACCTGCGATAAAGTAAAAATCCATGTATTTTTCTTCAAACGAATACATTCAATATTTCGTACTGAAGGTGATTCGATGGACGCCATATTTTGTGTCAGAACGGCGTGCGATATATTGCATCAATTGGTTCCATTTTTTTTAGCTACTCGTCATGTTTCTCAAATTTTGAGATGGCAATTCTGTTGTCAGGAGACTAAAGCACTCGCACTTACCAATTTGAACGAAGAATTTCAGCGTAATAAAGCCGTGGTTTTTTTAGAGAGAAAATATCGCATTCGAGTGCAGTTTCGATATCAGTATCGAATGCGATGTTTTCTCTCTAAAAAAACCACGCCTTTATTACGTTGAATTTCTTAGTTAAAATTGGTAAGTGAGTGCTTTAGTCTCCTGACAACAGATTTAACTGCAGACTACATTAATCGGATTCCATTCTTTGATTTTGAGGGCAAAGTTTCGACTTTTCAATTGTTTTCATATACGAGGAGTAGAAAGACATTTGGAGGAAGTCGTGGAAATCCGTGCTCGCTTCTTATTGGTGCTAGGTGGCATCATTCGGCTCGGCGCGAAACCGCGAGCCGTTTTAAATTTGCAGAAAAGTTACGCTTTTTGAACTGCGTATTTCCCGACTTTTTCACGATTTAAATGTGCGTATCGTGTTCCACGCCTCATTTGTCCTCAACGTACTGTATTCGTAAGTCAAAATTCGTTCATGGTTTGTGACTCACGAGTAGTAGAACCGCTTACCTGACATCTGCAAGAATGGTGAGTGATGAAGTTCCACTGAAAACTCCAATATTTCTTTGAAGTGCCGTCCGCTGAGCTCCGCGATACCAAATCTGTCCTCAAACGGCAAGAGAATCAATATGTTCCCGAATGTAATATCTAAAATTTGGACACAATTTTGGGTGATCAACAGATTCAGTGAAAAGAACAAAACACAAGCTTATATTTCGTGTTATCTCATTACTCGATTATTAAACTCACAAAAAAATATATTGATAATAGATTGATGCATATTCAGATTTATTTCTGTCGCCCCAAAAACTTGACCCTCAAATGGACCGCGTTAAACAGAAAGGAACTAAAGCCACATCAGCTATTGCCAAATTTAATTGCGGGTAATTTAACTTTTTACATGAAAACGGTTGCGCAAATTTTCGTGTAAATTTCTGCGAATTTTCTCCATAGTACGAAGCAAATTCCTTAAAGGTTTCAGAGAAATCCCCCCCCCCTTAGCGCTTCACGTCTCGGGCGTCATACACCACGCGTTACTTTTATGACTTTACGTTACAGAGAAAGATCTTGTTAGATTTTCCTCCATGATATGGAAAATAGAGCAACATGCAGATGATCTACGATCGGAATAGATGCTTTTCTAAGTTTCACCTTTAACACACCTTTGTTCACTGTTGTTGTTTGAAATAAATTTTCTTTGCCGTTGCAAGTTTATCGGGATCGACGGATTCTTGAACGAAACTTATGCACTTACTTCCATGGGGGATCGAAGTTCGTATCCCCCCGGCATGAAGGACCGCCACACTTGCTCTCGTCCAACTGCGACCCTCTCTCTGTTTCGTGTACTGGAAAATAAATTAATCAGCGGGCCAATCATTGAGACTGATAGACAAAGCAATAGACAAAGAAGACAAAGAGAAAACGGAGCGATCCTATCGGTTGATACGAGTGATTCTTATAGACTGAGGTGGAAAGTGGTGGATTAACCGTGGGGTCTCTCATGGGTTGCCGTTAGTCAGTCCATTACTTACCGCCCCTTCTTCGCACGGAAAAAGAGAGTACGGATGATCCACGCACTGAAAAAAAATTCTCGTCGTTTTTACTACGGTCCGTTGGTACATTTACCATCTCGCTTTCTTTACCAATTATTGGTAATTTAACCAAGACAGACTGGTAAGCTTACCTACAAACCGCGGTATTTTTACTGTTTTTTCAGGTAAGAATATCACTTTTATGGTTAATCAATTCCCGGTAACTTTGCCATTTTATCTAGGTAATCCTACCACAGTCGATAAAAAATATTGGCGTTTTTACCAAGGTCCAGTAAAATTACCGAGAAAGTTCAATAATTTTACCTAGATTTCTCGGTAAAATTACCAATTCTATAAATGGTAATTTTACCAAGAAAAAATTGGGATCAAATAGAACCCAGTTTTTTCTTGGTAATTTTACCCTTTTCTTAGTAAATACACCGAGATTTTTTTTCAATGCGGGTTGTCCGCTGATCTGAACATTGCCAATTGATTGTGGTAGTGCCCCAATAAATTAGGTTACTAACCCACATGTTGCGACAGTACCCCCTACCCTGACTTGAGTTGCGGTATTACTACAATCGATTGAAAATGTCCTTTGTCCGTATCACGCAACAAGTTGGGGTAGTACCATAATTTTAAGGGATAACCTCAAACACTTTTTCTCCCCGTGTGACCATTCCAGCCATACTCACTTCCACCAATAGGATCGCTCCATTTTCCCATTATCTTTTTATACTCTTGGATATTTTAGGAATTTTGCGATAACTTTCCAATTTGCTACTTTCCAAATTACTCTTAGGCATCATGGAACGCTATGGAATTGTTCTCTTCATTTACATGCTTCAGCAGATATGAAATTTTCATCTCACTGGCCGACCCATTTTTACTTTTTTAGATTGCCTAAAACGTGTCAAGTGATTCCGTGTAGATTTTTAGCGACGATTCCAACATAACCTCCGTTCTTCTGGGTCAGGTCGATTTTCCCTAAAAATCAGGCTTTTCCAGCCTAGTGAATAATTAGTTCACTGGAAAATCTGTGGACAATGGAGAAAAACCGAGGTCTTTTTCGGAAAATTGATTTTTCTCTAGAAAAGTTCGATTTTTAAGGAAAATACTTATTTTTCCGGGGGAAATCGGCCTGACTTGGGAAACGCAGATCATTTCCAGAATCAGCGCTAAAAATCTACCTAAAATCAGTGATCATACTGTAGGCAAATTTACCCATGTTGACCAGTGATTTTCTTTTACACAACAAAATTATAAAATCATTTGGACGTATTTCTGCAAGACGGAACTATGTGCATTGAGACATGAGCCCTAATACCCAAAAGAATATATGCATAACAGGGCTCACGTCATGATGCACATAGTTCCGATAGGCAGAAATTCGTCCATTTGGCAATAACTTGCTGTGCTACATACATAAAGCCGCTTTTATAGCGCAGCCTCGCGCTCTGCGACGCCCAATCGCCATTGCCCCCTATCCTCCCAGAGATCATCAGGCAATTGGCACTTTCTGGTCTCCTCCTCCACCCCCTGTCGCCAACCTTTCACAGAACGTCCACGCCGTCGCCTTCCGGGAGGAACCCAATCGAAAACCTGCTCGGTCAACCGATCGTCTGCCATCCTTCGCACATGTCCATACCAGACCAACTGCTTGGACCTGATATCGTGCACGATGTCCTTCTCCACACCCATTATCTCACGCACTTTTTCATCGCGGATACGCTCTCTTCTGGATATCCCAGCAGACCTCCGCCAAAAGTCCATCTCAGTTGCCCCAAGCTTGTCTTCAGTTCTTTTCTTGAGTTGCCAGACCTCACTCCCGTAAGTTACGGTACTCTTCCCGATGTCGTTGTAAATTTTTCTTTTGGTCCTCTTGGAGATACTCTGGTCCCAGAGAACCCCATTTAGCATCAACTTGCTATGCTACTCTTGCAAATTAACACAAATCCCAAACATTAGTGGGTTACCTCGTGGACCATCGCATCCGTGATCAATTTGCCGATGGTGCATGCCTCTAAATGGCAGACCCCGTTGGTGGCGTCCAAGTCTACTAGCGTCTTGCCTACCACTTTAGATCCGATCAGTTCGACGTCGCTACGCCAGGGTTGGAGTTTTTCTTCAATGAAAGGATCTGATGAAAAACGGCAAAAATCAGCATCCTGTGAGGATCAATATCCAGATTGCACACGGAGAAAAAAACTTCGTGCGTGGGACCCGAAGTTTAGGTCATATGGATCTCTGAAGTTTTTGGATTGAGCATCTGAACACTTTAGGTCCAGCTGCTGAGGTTTGGATCACACATTTGAAACTTCAGTTCTTACATCTGAAGTACTTCGGTTTTCATATCCGAAAAACTTCGGTTCTCACATCCGAAAAACTTCGATTCTCACATCTGAAGTACTTCAGATGTAAGAACTGGAGTTTCAGATGTATGATCCGAACCTCGACAGCTAGACCTAAAGTGTTCAAATGCTCAATCCGAAAACTTCAGAATTTCATATGACCTAAACTTCGGGTTCCACGCACGAGGTTTTTTTCTCCGAGCAAGGAACATATCGGTAGTTAAGGTAGAAAGCCGCCTAACTAGCAATCTCGGTGAAAATAAGCTCGTGAGTTTTCCGCATTTTACAGGATAAAATAGGTACGCAAACTGATGCTTTTAGTTTTTTTCAAGTTCCGCATGAAAGCGATATTATGTGTGAAAAATGTTGCAAATCTACCCTAAATTACAAAAATGGCGAAGATTTTTCTTCGTCCTGTAAAATCGTCAATTTGCATGTAGGAGGTACGAATTGGACGTATTTCTGTCCAACGGAACTAAGCGCCAATTTGAGTTCCTTTTGAGGAATTTAGAATGCCGGATAGTGCGTTCTGTCAAACGAAACTAAGCGCCATGGAGAAGCATTGCGGGTATAGGACGGAATGAGCCCGACGCTCGTTTCCACCGCCAATCGAAGCCAGTGGCGTGGCGTGCTTTGCGATATATCGATTTTTATGCCATTTAAGTCTGTGGATTAGAATCGATAAACAGGATGTTCGCAGTGAACACCTTAATAATCGATTCTTTACCATAGGTTTAAATGGCATAACAATCAATATATCGCAATTCACGCCACGCCACTGATCGAAGCCCCCCTCTATCTTCCTCCCCCTATGGCGCTTACAGTTCCGTTTGACAATTGACAGAAATACGTCCAATTCTTCCTTAGCCATCGATATGTTCACACTACGCGAGCTCATACATGGAACAGATTCAGACTAAATGCCGTTTCATCACATTTTGCGATGATGACCTCTTGTTTTTAGGTCATTCTTAAAACAAATATTTAGTTGAATTAACTGCACACATGCCGTTCCTGCCATTAGCCAGGAATAGAGGATCCCTCTTGCAATGTGTAATCAGTTCTACTCACAAACCTTAACCAAGTTAATCCGGTTTTTTCCTGTAAAGTAGTGAGTTTGTTGCCAAAAAAACGGAATCCCATGTTTTGTATGCAGAAAAGATTTGTTCCCCATTTTTTTAAAAAAATGTCATAATTGCTGTCATATTACATGCTGTCATAAGCGAGAATTAGCCTTGAATAAAAGAGACTTTATTTTGCAATGAGGTACTTGCACTACTTTTTTTAGACTATCTTTATAAGAGCATTAAGTGCCATTAATTTCTTTCCACAAATTGATTCTTTAATGAATGAACCGAAAATGGCAGTGCCTCAATCTTACTGTTTTTAAAAATTAAAAATTAAAATTGAACAAAATCTCCTTTACAGATCTTGAACTAAAAATTAACTTTGGGTACGCATATCAATCACTTGTTACCATGGATCACGAGCTGTGATAATGTCTGTATAATACCTACTGGATAGTTTCGTTTTGAAAGTTTTTACGGAGGCAATTTGTATACACAAAAAAAGGAATAAATCGATTCTCCGATGCAAAGTTCAACGTTTACGTGATAGTTACGTGAATGGTAAAAATACATATAAGCAGAGGTATAGACATTTTCCCTTACGTGTGCGCACGGTTTTGTCCAGCAAAATAGGGTTGCCTTCCCACGATGATACCTGAAACTGTCCGGCAATTTTTTCAAACTTTACTTTTAAAAAACCCACGTACTTTGAGAAAGCTGAGGCTTGAACAATGATAACTTTTCGACCGCTTTGTTGAGTAATGACTTTTGGGTAAGGTCCTGCAGGTTTGTCGCTGGACAGTGGAGGTGTGCCTGGGGGAAAAATGAAAGGACGAAAATTAAGTATCAAAAGGATTGATACCTTATATCATTTTTAAATCTCTTAAGATGTGGTAGAAATGAAATCCTCATTTCCTCAACCTTGATCCTTTGTTTGTAGATTCTGTTGGAATCGATCACCGTGTAAGCGAGGAATCTGTCGTGAAAGGTGGTCATGACGGGGAAGTCGGCAGTCGGTTTATCCGTATTTTATTTTACGTAATTTCTCTTCTAAAACTTTTGGAATATTAAAATGAAGTCAAAATCGGCACACACGGTAATATGTCGATTCGGTAGGTACCCTTTTTACGGGTCTAGCGTAAATTCAAATTGCCCGTCAAACGGCCCCTCGTAAAGTAAAATTTTCGTCGTTTTGGGTCCTCAAGTGCTCATAACTTTTTTAAAACTCAACGGATCTCAATAAAACCCTTCCACTTTGTAGTCCTAAGTGAGATGCGTCCGTAGACACCAAGATCGTCGGAATCCGTGCCGTCGTTTGGGCTGGAGTCGAGTGGAAACTAGAGTACCTGCATAGGGAGAGTAGCGACAGATCTGAAACTCCGAAAGTCCATCAGGCCTTCACCGATGCCTCCGCGAATAAAGTTAGGGCCCAAAAGGGCAGCCAACCTATGAATTTCGAATGTCCAGAGCGATTTACAAATACAATTGTTACGAACCGTCGTTTAGAAAGCATGTATTTGGTTTACTTTTTGCATAAATTTACTTATTTTTGCGAAAGAACGCTCATTTATGTACATTCTTAGCCATCTTGGTTAGAATTGAAATCTGTAGGCTGGCAGTGAAATTTTGTGTGTTAGAAGTTGCTCAGAAGGGTGGCTGCACTTTTGGGCCCTAAGCCCTCCATGAACCGATCTGTCGCTACTCTCCCTATACAGGTACTCTAGTGGAAACCGAATCAATTTTCAGATTAAGGGAGTTACGTGTGTCTATGAGTGTCTTCCAACACTTGCTATTGGGACTTCAGTAGGACGTCATTTTTCTCGACCGGGGGAGGCTACCGCCACTCTTGATAAAGCGACTATGTATGAATACCTCCTATAACCGGGGGCTACCAAAAATAAGATTACCAACGTGTTGCTGCAACATTACTTCCGACAGTAACGATGTCACAATGTTTCCGTAATCACTTTTTTTCGGGCGAAACCTAATGACTTCTGGTTGATATTACAATGCATTTTGAATATCAACATACTCACCAGTATACAAAAAAGTATGAGAGTGACCACCCACTATGATGTCAGCGTCTAGGCCTTGCTCTGCAACCCTCACATCCTCAAGGTATCCAGTATGGGAGATCGCCACGACCACATCAACATAATGATCTCTTAGTTCTTTGATGGCTTTATTCGTTGCTTCCACTTCGTCTTCAAATATCAGATCGCCTGTGTTCTCTAGGATCTGAAAACCGGCGATAAAAATGAAAGAGTCAGTTGGAGGGAAAAATCTGCGTGGTGGTAACCTTCGCTCAATCGGTGATTTTTCAGTAAAGATCAATTTCAGTGGGTATAACTAATACTAGGGGGCTATGCCCCCTGGCTGCTACGCGGCCCAACCCCCAGAGGGCGCTTCGACAAAGGAACGACCAAAAAAGACTGAAACGGAACGGAGCGTTTCGCCGCTTTTGGATATAGTATGTAGCAAAGGAGCATACCTTCAATTTTCTTACCTTACCTTACTAAAATCAGACCAAAATTCAACATTTCCCGCTTACTTCAGTTTTCCGCTAAATTTGAAATTCCCGCCATTTTTCATTGGCGCGCATTTCAAATTTCGCCCCCCTTTTTAAACTTTCTGGCCTCCTCTAATATAAAAAAACCTGGGTCCTATATTTTCAAATTCTGATCAGAGCGGGCTCATCTAAGGCCTTTCACCTATCGATTATCGCAAAAATAATGGAAATCGGCCCAGTAGAATGCTCAAACGAACTATGACAAAAAGTATAAATTTACATTGTTTAAGCGGGAAAATTCGCAACTTTACCATGTAATATAAAAAAAACCCAGGCCATATTTTCAAAATCTGAACAAAACGGGCACATCTAGAGACAATTGCCCGTCGACAACCGCAAAAATCATGAAAATAGACCACTAGACAAGGTACGAATTTCAGCATTCTGATACATGTTTCTTTATCAAAATTGCACGTAGAACACGATACGCACAACGAAAATTACCAAAATCAACTTCTGACGAAGATATTTAATGATTTTTGATGCGTGAATTCAAACCACCCGCTCATGAAAACTCAATGCTCTACGTGATTCACATCGCGCGCTAAATGTTTATCATGACAGTCTCTGTGATGTAAAAATCCTCAACTTCAATCTTGACTATTTGGCTCAGCTATAGCAAATTACTAATAGTTTGAACAACACATGGTGGAAAACGAACATTGCTCGATTGAGAAGCTTGCTGAAACCGTTGTAGTGCGCGATTTGACTCACGTAGAGCTTTGAGTTTCTTGTGAGCGGGCAGTTCAAATTCCTTGTAACCAATGTGAAATAAAAAGGTTAATATCTTCGCTAAGAGTTGGTTTCAGTAATTTTCGTTGCGCGAATCGTGTTCTACGTGAAATTTTGGTTAAGAAACATGTATCAGGTTGCTTAAATTCGTACCTTGTCTAGTGGTCCATTGTCCCGGTAGAACGCTGGAACTAAGCGTTACCAGATATGCAAATTTAAGAGGTCTTGGAGCTTATATATATGATAGAAAAATCTAAGTTGCTCAATATATTTAATAAAAATAACTAACTATTACGTGAAGAATGTACAAACCGGGAACATCTTTGAAACATATCCAACGATGCCAATACGCAAACCATTTTTATTCACGATTATCCATTTGCTCAGATATTTCTGCAAGTCTGGAAACTTCGTGGTGTCGACGTTAGAAAGTACCGTCGGTGTGCTCTGAAGTAGGCTTAAATAATTTAAGACACCTTTCGGCCCGTCGATGTCAAATTCGTGATTCCCAATTACCTGAAACATGAAAAATGTTCCTGAAATTTCTTGAATATGATCAGCACTATCAATCGAGAAACCCCGTTCTTTTCCTCTCTTTATAACATACCTTCCAACACTTTCGCTTAAATAGACAGCGGTTATATTTAAATGCAGGTGTCAGAATTAATGTGAAAGTTTTGGTAGGAAAAACTTACATTTTATTGCATGAGTTAGCCAAAGTCTAGGCCTCATCGTCAGGGTCGTTACAAAGTATTAAACACGAGGGCCTTAACTTAATTTATAAAACAATGACTATAGGTATCATTTGTATCAGACGGTTCTATAAATTAAGTTATGACCATTGTGCTTAAAACTTTTTAACACTAAATTTGCGGAAAAGTTACGCTTTTTGAACTGCGTATTTGTCGATTTCTGAGTCACTTTTTCGCGTTTTAAATGTTCGTATCGTGTTTAGCGCGTCATTTGTCTTTAGCGTAATGTCAAAAAAGAAAAATCGTCAAAATTTGTTTATGGTTTAGTTACCCATTCCTGCATAAGTGCCATCCGCGGAGAAAGAGTTCTTATTTCCGAAAAATTCACATTTGGACTAACATCATTACAGAAGAAATGCTTGCCGAAAATTTAGACACATCAAATCGAACGACAAAATAATCTGTAACACTATTACTCGGTTTATACCCTCGGAATTATTTCCAAGTAAAACCTCATCAAACGCCTAACATCAATATCTGACGCACTACAGCGTGTTGTAACTTCATTGAAGAGCACTTAAAACTGTTCATTTTATTTTAAGAAATATTTTATGTTGGATGTATCAACCAGTCGATTAACCATCAATTTTTTCGTACGAAGATCCATTTTGATTTTCACAAGAAGCAACCAACCTGTGCATCCACTGGTAAGAGATTCATGAACTCTGCTGTGACATTCCACTTAAAGAGGTTGTACCAAAGAGTTCCAGTAGATACATCACCAGCGTTTATGACCAACGAGTTTGGTTCTTGATTTTTCAGCTCAAGTATTTTCGCGTGCATGCGTGCAAATCCACCTGTAGGATAAAACATTTTCAATGACCAGCCAACCCGGAATTTTTAATTTTTTTTATTATTTCCTGATTTTTACTTTCTCCCTCCATTGAATGTCGAGTTCACATTTTTTTTTTATTTTTTTATTTTTTTTTTTTTAATTTTTTTTTTATGTAAAATCAACATTTGATGCTTCACGCACATTTTTTAATAGTGCACATGCTTAATCAACGTTCAGTATTTTCCGTGTAAAAATCGTAGTTTTTCTTCAACTTACCCACGCAAGTATTCGCGGCTCCTTTCTCGCAGATGCCGCCCGTCACAGGATTTACCGGCTCAAAGCGAGCGTGGAAATCGTTAAAGTGGATTATGCTTACTTCGATAGCGCCTTCTACGGAGGCAAGAAACCACCCGCACAACACCACACACAGGGCCACAAACATTCCGCTCTTTCTCTTCAAATATTAAAATAAACACACGCGTATGTCTCGAGTAAATATCAACAAAAACACGAACCAACACAGAAGTTTAGCAGCTGAGGCCAACCTCAGCCGAAATTTCCCTGAGACGCTACGGTCGAAACAATTTTCAGCAGCCTAAGGGGTCATTGTTTCAGGCTGTAACTTTGAAATTTGCACACATCATGAGCGTTGCCATCGAAGCCTCTTGTCACACTAAAGTTTCGTAGATTTTAGGAATGCGAAACTGTCTAATATGTCGATAACATTCTAATCTACGATTTATACTTCCGTTGAAGAGCTTTGACTTAGCATAATTTCATGTAAATTAACCGTGACAGACTCTTGAAATCAACACATGAAGACGTATTATCAACGTCGAGCTAACAATAAGTGTTATAAAATCGAAACTTGAGTTAAATGTATCATTTACATTTCGTTCTCAGCATCAAGGACACCATACTACATGGGAGCCATTCAAGTATTACTTAACGCACTTTTTCCGATTTTTGACCCCCCACTCTCACTGGTAACGCACCCGTAACATAACTCCAAACCCATTTGATGAATGGAGAATTTGCATGCAAATTTTTTATTGCTTCATCTGAAAGTGCTTGAAGAGCTGATTTCACGGTGTTTTTTATAATTTTTTTCTGTTATAGAAAATAGTATGAAAATATATTTAAAAGTGAGAAAATGCACCTCCTAGTGACGTCATATGGCGGCATCTCCCTTATAAACACACGTATTTTACCAAATTAGATAATTTTGTCATATTTTCTCCAATAATTGTTCAATTCATGAACCAAGGGTATCCTCGTGTTTAGTTCACGCAGTAGCTTCCACCTAAACACGAAATTCATCACATTTCAGACACCTACAAATGCTCTATTATGTAACCCTGACTTGATCCCCCTCCCCCCAAATTTGAAAAAAATGAAGAAAATGCTGCGAAAACAGCTTGAAACAACTCCGGGTTTTTTTTAAAAAAGATATTTTACGCTTATGCAGAAATTCTAATTTTTCTCCGCAGCAAATCAGGATTAGGAAAAATTACGAAATCAGAATTTAGCAGTCAAAAATCAGGATTTCCCAAAATGAAAAAAAAAACTAGACACCCTGCGAACACTTCGGGACTTTCAAAAGTTCCGGAAAAAATTTGGAAAAATTATGAAATCAGGATTTAGCAGTCGAAAATCAGGATTTCCCAAAATGAAAAAAAACTAGACACCGTTCGAACAATTCGGGATTTTTAAAAGTTCCGGAAAAATTTCAGGGAAATCTGAAAAGTTCCGAAATTCGGAACTATAGTTCCGGGAAGTAGGAGCACTGGATCAGCTCAAAAATAAATGCAATTACAAAGTGTCCATCCTGTTCCACCGATTTCTCGACCGCGTTACCTGTTGAATTATCTCCGAACTTCCTCACGTTGCGGAAAGTGGAAATCGCCCGAGTCTTCGCTCCCAAGCGCTGCGGTTTCAGCTAAAACTAAAGCGAATAGTTGCCAGATCGTATAATAAAACACACTTTTTAACTTGGAGCAATGAGACAAAAATGCTCGTTCCTCAACTTCGCTCGACGGTTGGACTACGGCGGAACTTGAAACTCGGGTTTCGCCTCCGAACTCGGATTCTAGTTGGACGTGTTTCTGCCAAACGGAACTATGTGCATTTAGACATGAGCCCCAAGACTCATAAGAACACATGCTTATCAGGGATCACGTCATGATGCACATAGTTCCGTTTGGCAGAAATACGTCCAGTCGGTTCGCGTTCGTTGGAGGACTTGCATAGCGAAGTGGGTGACGGGGCTGTTTGAGGAGCCATTGTCTACGCGACTGGCGGGAAAGTGCATTCCCGGGAAGTCGGTGATAATTCAGTGAGTTGACTCTCATTCGCCCCCTCGTTCAGCGCCGCAGGTTGTCAACGATGAACGATGCGGAATTCATTTTAAGCGCTCAGTCGATAAAGCGTTCTATCCGTCTACATCCTACAAACTAGGGGCTTCGAAGAGGCTCATCGATGGACTTGTTGACCAGTGTTCGAAACTCACCTTTGAGTTTTAGGAGCCATGTGGCGCATCAAGCCCGATTTTTAGGCGCCATTGAAGATTTTTAAGGAGCCAAATTGACTTTTTGCCTATATATTACGGCGCATTCAGTGAAAAGTTAGACGCAAGATGTTTTCGTAACAGAACTAGTAAGTAGCTGTAACTCGGGGAAGACAAAAGCACCAAGAATGAAATCGTGAAGAATAGAAAAAGCAAGCTTTCACTTGTTGTGCTGAAAATTCTGAGTTTTTTCAATTCAAATAGATTTGTTTTTCTTTCTTTCTTTGTGTGACTTCCTGAGAAAATCCACATTTGTAGGGGGTAATATTAGGGGCCACGTTGGCGCAGAACCTTCATTTTTCAGGCGCCATGGCCGGTTTTTTAGGTGCATTTGGCGCGTTGGCGCCAATGAGTTTTGAACACTGCTCATCAATGGACTTGTTGACTGTTGCCTTTCGAAGATCTTCGGCCCGAAGATCTTTGAAGGTGATCCATGCGTTCGGGACGTATCAAGGATCAGATTTTGAAATGTCCAATGAATTTCGCGCCAAAGTGGCTGAGAATTTAAAGTATGAGTACCAGTTGGAAGGCTCCAGTTTGTAGGAGGGCAAGTCGGTAGGAGTAGGGGTTGACGTCACCGACGCTTTATAATGGAGATGTTGCATGTGTGAGGAATTTGCGATTTGACTGTTGATTATTATGCAAAAGTTCGCAAGAAACACGATGGTGCCACTGGTTTTCTCTGAAATCATCTCCCAAGCTCAAAAAAAGCTCTCAAGTTGAGGCCAAAATGGAAGGGATATCCCACGCTAGCCTAAGAGTCCACTTCTACATCAAAACTCTCCATGCAAAGATAGGGGGCAAAAACATTAGCAGTGATGCTGTCTTTTCAGTTTTAGAGTCCCCAAATAAAGTGGCAGCCCTGTCAATGTATTTGCTCCCTATCTTTGCATGGAGAGTTTGTCTTGATGTAGAGGTGGACTCTCAGGATAGCGTGGTACATCCTCCTCCATTTTGGCCTCAACTTGATAGCTTTTTTTTGAGCTTGGGGGTTAATTTCAGAGAAAGTCAGTGGCCACATCGTGTTTCTCGCGAACTTTTACATGAGCATCAACAATCAAATCGCAAATTCCTCACACATGCAACATCTCCATTCCCATTCATTCTTACAGCCCTCGACTAACAAGCACACCCCTTTTTCCCACCTGTCTCTAGTTGCGTTTGGCAGAAATACGTACCATGTAGTGCGGGCCACGTGTCTTAGCATAGCGTTTTCCCCCTTGTTGGATCTGAACACAGACTGTTTCAGTTTTTCTTTGTGGAGCTTTGACGAATCGACGTGAGTAGCAAATAACTTCAAACAGTCCTCGCCGTGCCGCTTTCATCGAGTGGCGTAGATATCAAATCCCTCCTGGATCGGGAAGTTCTCCCCACTCGAGTGAGACGAGTCAAATTTAATTAGGAAACGGTATCATGTGAACGGCTCGAGAGCTCGATAGTTAACTTCAAACATAACATTTGTTCCGGATTGCCAAGCTCGAGAACCTACTCCAACGAGCTCCCGTCGTTGTTGAGTTAACGTGCTTCGTCCTTTGTTGCCAAATCGCACACTGAAACGTTCGATTGAGTCGGGCAGCGCTGCCGTGATAGCAAAGAGTGCAGAAAGTGCAAAAATGAGGTTTTGAGGAAACGGGCTCAGAAGCATCTGACCGGAAAATTGTATTGAAAGAAACCTCCTCTCTTTTTCAAATTATCAATAATCGACAAACTCCGACATCAATGATTCAATAGACTAGAGTACCTATATTGAGAGAGTATGGCCACTGGTGTTACCACCTCTGATTGGCACAGCCATCTTAGGCTGAATGGAGCCCTTAGGTCCCAAAAATGGCGGACGCCATAAATTAATATAATGCAAAATGACTCCAAATGTAGTTTTCTTTGCTTATCGTAACGAGAAATTTACCCAAATGCACTATTGCGACTTCTTTACATATTTTTAAGGCTAATCGTGTGCAATTTTTGAGAAAAATTATCTTAGATGTAGTAAGGTTGGCAGCAAGTGCGGTTGGTGAAAACCGTCAAAAGTTGGCAATGACCCCCCCTCCCTTCCACAAAAACCAAAACAACGCACCGCCATTTTTGGGTCCTAAGCCTCTCCATGGGGCCCAGTGGCCATACTCTCTCAATATAGGTACTCTACAATAGACCAAGGTACCATCCAGGGGTGCAAAATCTCCACGACCGATCTTAGGACTGCAGGCTCGCGGCATGCTTTAGTTGAAAATGGTGTACACCACGATAGGTTCGGCGTGGCAGTCCGGCACCGAATTTTCAACGATTAAAACACGAACGCGCAATGCGTGAAGTATTTCTTCAGTCTTGTAGGCGTTAATACGCGTTTGGGCCGACCGCACTATTTGGCGCAATGCGTGAAGTATTTCTGCAGTCTTGTAGGCGTTAATACGCGTTTGGGCCGACCGCACTATTTGGCGCAATGCGTGAAGTATTTCTGCAGTCTTGTAGGCGTTAATACGCGTTTGGGCCGACCGCACTGTTTGGCGCAATGCGTGAAGTATTTCTGCAGTCTTGTAGGCGTTAATATGCGTTTGGGCCGACCTCACTATTTGGCGCAATGCGTGAAGTATTCATTCAGTCTTGTAGGCGCTAATACGCGTTCCGCGCCGACCGCGCCGCGCGCCGCGCCGTGTTCGGCGTGATTAGCTGAACTTCCGGAGTCAACGTTTTTCAACTTGTTACTACCATTAAGTTTTTTGCACGCTGTGTATGGATTACTGTCATTTAAATTTTTTTTTTTTTTTTTTTTTTTTTTTTTTTTAGAAAAATACATTAAATGTAACTATTTTTCCTTTGTTTATTTACAAGCGGTTATCACCATACTCCCATCTTTTTTGAAACTGCCCTGATTTTTCGGCCGCTGGAAATTCGTGCAACAGGGAAGGGCCACTTTCGCCGCAAAGTGGATGCAATCCTTAAGAAATTGATATTTCGTTTCTGTGGTGCCAGATGATCCATCCTCCAGCTTTTCATTTGAGTTCCACCTGAAGAGCCTTAAGGCTAGGGTGCTCCAAACTTTCAATGGTATACCGTGCGTCTAATTCTCGCATCATCTGTATCAGCTTTTGCTGCT